CAGGTCTGTGCAGTGTCCTATGACATCTATGTACCAAGTTTCATTGAAATGTGACAATTACTACTTGAAATATCAAAAGCTGAAAATTAATTAATTATGCTAATTAGGTAATTAATATCTACTGATATTACCCTAAAAACTTTCAGGTTTGTGCAGTGTCCTATGACATCTATGTACCAAGTTTTATTGAAATGTGATGATTAGTACTTGAGATATCAGTGGAAAAGCCGAAAATTGATTAATCATTATGCAAATTAGGTAATTAATATTGCACAGATTTTTACCCAAAACTGATCAAATCTGCGCATTAGTTTGGAGCATCTGTGTGCCAAGTTTCATCAAAATCCAATGAGTGGTTCTTTAGATATCAGTGGAACAGTCATGAAACAGCCAAAAATCAGCTAATTATCATGCAAATTAGGTAATTAATATGCATGGATTTTTACCAAAACCTAATCAAATCTGCGCATTGGCCCAGAGCATCTATGCACCAAGTTTCATCAAAAACTGATGTATGGTTCTTGAGATATCAGTGGAACAGACGGACACACATACACACACACACACACACACATACACACATACAGACACACTAACTGCAAAGACTCCCTTTTTGTGCTTCGCACACGGGAGTCAAAAATTGATGAATTTAACTATGCTAATACAATGAATTAATAGATGAAATCTCAAAAATATTGATATATATATATATATATATACACAGATTATCACTAATTAATAGTACATACAATAATTTCGTAAAGCCATGTGGTCTTGTATTCCGTTTAGCCACAATTAAACCTAACAATCATTGCCATGTTTTTAAACCAACCACTGACAATCCTTACAAATGGAGCATACAACTGAGTTGTTCATTATTCAATGTGGGATTGTGAACTATTACAATTATAAAACATGCATGTACCTTCTCTTCTTGGACCTTGAGCTCCGTTTCCAACATATCTGACAGATAACTAACAGCTAATATTATATGTTTAGCACCAGCCTGAAATGAAAGTAAATGATATAGAGTTGTTTAAAGTGGCAATAGCATAACTACCACTATCGCTAAATTTTTTGTGTTTTATTTTAAATAAAACATTTCCTGTGTCATTAGTGTCAATGTATAACTACCATCGGCAAAATGTGAACACTGACGCTTACACACTGTATAATGACATTGTACATTTAAATCACTTGAGAGTGAAACAAGCAGCCAGTCGGCTGAGATAGTTCCGCTGTTAGCAATGCACATTTCAATAAAAGAACAGTAGATATCATTAGAAAATGAACAATATGTATAGTATCAAAGCAATGGGACTTGCTGTTTTCAACAAGAATTCAAATATATCACTTTTCACCAAAAATGACAAAAATAATCATCAAAATTGGAAAATTGAAGATATCACCACGAAATTAACAAATCTGAAAGAGGTCCACATGTAGTACCTATATATGTAATATAAAAACAATCGGACTAGCGGTTTTCAACAAGAAGTCGAAAATATCACTTTTTACCAAAAATGACAAAAATAATAAGCAAAATTAGAGAATTGAAGATATCACCATGAAATGAACAAGGGGTGATCTCGTATTCAAACATGCGGGTCAAACCTACGAAAACCCAAACCGCCCTAAACCGCCCGAACAAAACCCAGTTTTGCGGTTTGGAAGTTTAAACAATAGACAGTGCGGTTCAGGACGACCGCACGAATTTGCATAAAAACTGCGGTTCGAACCGATCTCATTCACACCTCATTCAAGCTGTTGTTTATTTTTAGGATTGGCAAAGTTTACATTGCTAGATAGTTGTCTCTAAAATGTGTCGATTTATTGGTGTA